GAGGAAGCAGCAGCAGTCACCTGTCACTCCAGGGCCTTGTGCAGCCTCTAGTGCGTCCCCAGGTGGCAGGCATCGTGCCGGTACCACCAGCCCCTCAGTCCTTGCTGCCACTGGAAAGAGGCGTCACCTTCACCCAGCGTCCTCTCTCACTGTGGCCTGGGAGCTGTTCCCGCAGCTCAGACCCAGAACTCAGGATGGAAGACCACAGGCTGGGGTGCCAGGTCCCTGGGTTCAAGTCCAACTGTGCTGATTTCTGGCTGTCACCTTGGGTCAGTGACCTCCCCTCTCTGGCCTGTCTCCTCTCTTGGGAACCTGGGGCTCCTCTGCACCTGCCAGAGGCCACCTGCAGGGACACAGGGGTGACACAGTGGCCTTGAGTGTTACCACCTTGAGGCTGCACCTCCAGGCCTCCCCACGGCCCTGTTCTGTCCCACCCCCTCGGCCTGCTTTCTGTCGTGCCTGGTACGGGAACTGCCTGCTCCACCAGCGTCCCACATGCCAGCATGCCCTTTCACCCTGAGTGTTTGCTGAACGAGGAAGACACTGGACAGTCTACACAACTGACCGAACCTCACCTCCCTGGGACACCCTCTGCCCTCCTCCTCAACCCCCTTCTGGCGCTGAGGCAGACGCAGAACCCACGAATGCACCACGAGCCAGGGATCTGCACTGGCTGCTTTATTTAAGGACTTGTGGCTGGGGGCTGTGCCCGACCCAGTTCCTGCCACCTCCAGGAAAGCAACGGGGCTTCCTGGTCAGCTCAGGGGAAGCCGGCTCCCTGCCAGGGGACCTGGGAAACAGTGGCTTCAAGACCCGGGGCATGGGAAGGTAGGGCAGGAGGACAGGAGGGCAGGACATCCAGTTCAAACGGGCAGGGTGCTGGAGAGGCCCCACCCGCCTCTGCTTGCTCTCTGCCCAGGTGTCAGGAAACAGCCCCCACCCCAGAGGAGCCGGGGGCCCAGAAGTCCAAGGGTTTTGGCACCCAGAAAGGCCAGTTCAGGCCCCCCAGGCCCAGCAGCCCCTCAACTCCATCCCAATTCCATGAGCACACCCCCAAGGTGAGCCCTCACAGCCACACACACACACAGACACACTCACACATACACTCACACACACACACAGGGCTGCAAGAGCCCCAGACCCACACCCTGGACCCCTGGAATGTCTCTAGATTGGTACCCAGAGGGCGGGGCCGTGGCAGGCCGGGCTGCCGAGGGGGTGGGCCCTCTGAGTCGCTACTGATTGGCTGCCTCGCAGGCGTCTATCCAATCGCTGTACACGTCCACTGGTTCTGACAGATCTGAGTCACCGAGGTTAAGGGCAATTGGTGGCACAGGACCCTGCCCCTGTGGCTGCCTCTGCGGCTCACGCCAGACCCCTGTCCTCTGCCCTGCCCTAGGAAACATAGCAGGCTGAGGGAGCACAGCTGGACTCCACCCCAGGCCAGGCAGCCCTGACCACCCCGTCCGACCCCTGTAAAGGGCCAGGTTCCCCAAGGATACACGTGATGGGCGTCTGGAACTCCTCCAGGCACACAGTACAAGAGATGACTCCGGTGTTGCGGGCACGGTCCCTGGAATGGGACAAGGCAGAGGGCGCGGTGAGCGACGGGCCTGGAGCCTGTGGGTGACACCCACGCCCTCCCAACCAGGAGGCACGTGCAGAAGGGGGGACAGGGACCGGGCAGAGGGGAGGCCTGGGCGCGGCGCCCACTCACATTTTCACGTCACAGGACTTCTCGTGGTTGCAGAAGGGGCAGGTGAACTGGGTCTCGAGGGTGCCTGTCATTTTCTTCTTGGGTGGCGGCTTCCGCTTTGACTTTCTGCGTCCCATGTCAGCAAGGGGCTGGACCTGTGGAGGTCAGGAAGGGCGGAAGTCAGAGACCGATGGCACACTAAACTTGAAAAAAAACTAAAATGCTTTTAAATAACAAATTCTAGGGGCCGGCAGGTGGCATGGTTAAGGTGCTGGATACTCCCACATGGCCAACCATGGTCTGGGTCCCGAACCTGGTGGCTTGCTTTCTGGCTTTCCCTCCCCCTCTCTCGGTTTCTCTCTCTGGTCAAATTAAAATGAATGAATAAACAAAACTAAATTAATAATTCTTTTTTTAAAAATAAATAAAAAACATGAGACCAGCAGTTGGCATAATGGCTATGTCATTGGACTTCCATGTAGTTGACTGCAGTTCGAGTTCTGGACCCGGTGGCTTAAACTCATGCCGGGCGCGTGTGCGTGCGTGCCCAAGATCCCGAGGAGAATGGAGGAGAAGGGATTGCGGCGTGGCCATACCCCCGGGGGGTGATTTCTCTCTGTCTCTCTGCCTCTGTCTTTCTTGTGAGCGCTCGTGCCCTATAGCAAAAACCTCTCCAAATTTTTTTTTTAAACAAATAAAAACCAAATAAAATAATAAATATATAAAAGTGGAACCAGTTGACCACGACTTAAAATTCATACCGTGCCTGTTCAAGATCCTAAGAGGGAAATGGGAAAGGGACTGTGGTGTGGCTATCCCCCCTAGGGAGTGATTTCTCACTGTCTGTCTCTCTCATGAGCCCACACACTCTGTATCTCTCTTTAAAAAACTTTTTTAAGGAATTATTTTTAATTTATTCATTCATTTTAATTTGACTAGAGAGAGAGAGAGATGCAGAGAGAAAAAGAGGGAAAGTGAGAAAGCGGGCCACCAGGTCCGGGACCCAAACTGCAGTCAGCCACATGGGAATTCCAACACCTTAACCACCATGCCACCTGCACACACACACACACCTGGCGCGTCTCTCAATGTGCCAGGACTGGAAGCACAGCTGGCCAAGCGGGATCCAGGTGGCCCCTGCCACTCCTACGGCTGAGGAATGTGCAAGCGCCATCGAGGAGTGACCCCCAGGCAGCTCACTGGACTGCCTCTCTGCAGCTGGCCGAGAACAGGAACCCCAGGAGCAAAGGCTGCGGGGACGGGCAGCGGGATAGGCGGGAGGGTTTTCCATGTCTGGACAGATCCTGGAGGCCATGAGGAGTGGAAGACCGAAGACGCGATGTGCTTTGGGAGGACTAAGGGACGGGGGTCAAAGTCTAAAGGAAGATGAAGCTGGTGGGGCATACTGGTGGCATGGTGGTTAAGGCTACTGGATCCCACGTGGCTGGCTGCACGGTTCCAGTCCTGAACCTGGCGGTTTAAAAAACACCCTGTGTGCACACAGGTGTCCAAAATCCTGAGAGGAAAAGGGATTGCAGTGTGGCCATGCCTCCTGGGGGGAATTTTCTCACTTTACCTCTCTCTTCCTGTCTGTCTCTCTGGCAAGCACATGAGCCCTATAGCAAATTTTGTTTTTTTTTTGAGAGGTTTTTTTCGCTATAGGGCGCGGGCGCTCGCCAGACAGACCGAGAGAGACATAGAGACAGAAAGCGAGAAATCCCCCCCCAGGGGGGATGGTCACGCCGCAATCCCTTCTCCTCCATTCTCCTCTCGGGATCTTGGGCACGTACGCACACGCGCCCGGCATGAGTTTTAAGCCACCGGGTCCGGGACGCGAACCACGGTCGACTACGTGGAAGTCCAGCGACACAGCCATTACGCTAACTGCTGGTTCCCGAGCCCTATAGCAATTTTTTAAAAAGAGTGATTTTCTCTAACTTTATTTATTTTGATTTGACCAGAGAGAAACACACAGAGAGAAAGAGAGAGAAAGTGAGAAAGCAAGCCGCTGGGTCCAGGACTAGAACCATGGTCGGCCACATGGGGGTCCAGCGCGTTAACCACCTGCTGGCCCCAGCCCTACAGCAAGTTTAAGAAATAACCAATAAATAAAATAGAGTGAAGAAGATTCTGGAGCAGGGCTACTTCAGAGGAGGAGGAGAGGGGAAGGATCTTCTGGGTGCCATGTATGCTGAAGCCCAGAGGGAGCCACAGAAGTCGTCCTGGCAGAGGGGATGACAGGTGCAGAGGCCCTGCGGTAGAGGGGCTTTTAGAATGAGGAAGAAGGCTGCAGCCCAGCAAACAATGCACGGAAGGGTTTGAGATGGCAGAGAAAACGCACGCATCAGACCCCACAAGACACGGGGGCTCAAGGAAGCAAGGTGTAGCCCATCCCACACCCCACACGCTCCCCTGCCAGGACAGTCCCCGGGGGACTGCCCTGGCACCCACCTACAACTGAGTTGCCGGAGCTGCTCAAACTGCTACGCTGACTGCTGAAACGAACCCCAGACCCCCCCACCACAACATCAGTTCCTTGGGACACGTTTTGTCCATTGCTGAGCTCCCAAAACTCATTAGGTGCTCAGTAACTTTATTGACTGAAAAATTAAGCCTTCTGAGGCGGGCTGGTGGCCTGGAGGTTAAGCCACTGGATCCCACGTGGCCGACTATGCAGTTTGAATCCCGGACCCCGCAACTTGGAGGGGGGGAACCCGCTGGGCACCAGGTGTGTGTGTGTGCCTAAAATCCCAAGAGAAGAGTGGAGAAGGGATGGCCACCCTGCCATCCCCTTGTGTATGGGGGCGATTTCTCACTTTTCCTGTCTATTTCTCTCCCCCAGGGGCCAGCAAGGTGGTGTGGTGGTTAAGGCACTGGATCCCCACATAGCCGACCATGGTTCGAGTCCTGGACCTGGTGGCTTGCTTTCTCACTTTCTCTCTCTCTCATTCTGTCCCTCTCTGGTCAAATTAAAATAAACGAATAAATAAATAAAATTAAATAGAATTTTTTAAAAAAGTCTCCTGAACCGGAATCTACGGAGGAGCCCCGTTATCTCATTTTATCGGGACTACAGCCTCCCCACCCCAGAGAAGGGGGTGTGGCGGCACAAAGACGACCTCGGCCTGTCCCGCGCCGCTGTCAAGTTCAAGCGCGCCAAGAGGGGACGGGGACTGAGCAGGGTTTCAAGGTCCCCCCGAAACTGCCAGGACACAGGAACT